AAACTGAGTTACTTGAGTTCGGCTTGAGTTTGACTCGTTTAGGCTCAGTTCATTTTCTAAACGAGCTCGAACTTGAACAAGTTTTTAGGCTCATTTAGAAAACAAGCCCTACAAGCTTGGCTCAAATTCGATNTTATTAATCAAACTGAGTTACTTGAGTTCGGCTTGAGTTTGACTCGTTTAGGCTCAGTTCATTTTCTAAACGAGCTCGAACTTAAACAAGTTTTTAGGCTCATTTAGAAAACAAGCCCTACAAGCTTGGCTCAAATTCGATAAGCTCGGCTCGTTTATGTATAAATACTCGGGCTCGACTCGGCCTTTTGGAGGGTTTCTTCTTCTTCCAATAGATGATCTTTTACAAGTTCCAAGGGAAGGTATTTATAGGCAAGAAGGGGGTAAAAGGAGAGTAAAAGAATAGTTCTAGGTGCTTAAAGTCCAAGTGAATGCCCCAAAATCCAGATGAAGATCTAATCTTCCTGCAGCCTGTCTGGGATTTGTGTTCAAATGTTATTGGCATTCGAACATGGAAACATTTCTTCTTTGATGAGCGTTTAAACGTTGTTGTAGTTCGAACGTGGCACTCATGTAACTTTTTTCCTTCACAGTAACTAGCTGCAACAAGCCATGTGTCATTACCCTAGCAATCTTCTGGAGATCCTCAATAATTTCAAGATGGTGTTCGAATGTGGAAGCATTTGTTTCCTCTATCTTCAAATCTCCTTTAGAACACGTGTGCTGCTTGAAAGTTTGATGTTGTTGCTTTTAGGACCTTGTACTTTATTTCTCCTGAAATGTTATCATTTAAACTCCATCAAAGCATAGTTAATCTCATAGAGGCATAGTAAGATGTTACTCGTAACTATGCATCAGTTATAAAGAAACCGTTCTAGCAAAGGCTATCGAGCATAGGGTGGTCCCCATCGATATTTAAAACATAAAACCAAACAAAAAACTTGTCATCTTGAACACTAAAGAGTGTTTCTCAGAAGGGATCCCCTAATGCCTCAAACTATATTTTCAAAACATGAAATAGTTTAGAAAATCTATTCATTTAAAATCATCTAGAATCCATACACGGATTAGTCTCTGATTCTATTTTAACTCTAATCCTCCTAAGTTAATTAAACCAATGGATCATCTTAGGTATCTAAGTCATTACCTTTGTCCTAAGCTTGAAAGTGTAACAAGGGTGTGAATGATGTAGTTTTGACGCTTAATCTTCTCCTTTCAATGATACTTTTGGATCTTCAATCTTAATAGCATTATGACCATGGAATATGTTGAGATTTACAATGACAAAATTAAGTAATTGCAAATGCACATCTAATAATCTCCCCATTTGGCAATTTCGTGACACAATACATAAATAAAAAACTAAAATTGCAACCCACAAACTATTGAACAAAACGAATTGTAAATCTAATCTCAACACTTATGCATACGTCCTAAATCTCTACCTTAGTATAAGATCTACATCTTAAGATATTAATTGAAGATTATAGTTCTACACATCACCACTCAAATCAAAAACTTATAAAAAGCATCATATGTTCGAGAACTAAATAACACAATCACAGGTATCGTAAGCACTAAGTTAAGCATAAGACATATTTATGTATACATCATGCAAGTATAAACATGTAACATGTTAAGAACTAAATTGTCCCATATACTTGAGAACCTATTGATATATCAATATCAATGATATCGAGTTCTCCCCGGTAATTGGTGTTCATAAGCAAAATAACAAGTGTAAAATAGGTGGCTCCATGCTAAGTTTGTAAATATACTCCCCTTGAGTATTTGAACAAACCCCCCTTACTATTTTTACATGGAACATACCTAGACTAGTCAAGAGTAAATCTTCTCGATTCCTCTCATAAGTACCTAAAATATTTTCTCGTTTTTTGTCATAAATATCAACCCAATAACAACAAGTGACAAGCACTGTACAGAATCAAGTTACCCAATATATTATTTCCTTATTTGCTATAAATGTCAATCTCATAACTACATATAACAAGCATGACAAAGAATTATGGTATAACAAGAAGGTATAAGCAAGGACCAACTAGTTAAATCATGCACATAAAATAAGCAAATAACAAACACAACATATAACTCATAGTCAAATATGATAAAACAACAATAAACATGACTTAGAGTATCGTCACAACAACAAATAAAAGTCAATAAAGAGAAAAAGTCAACAAAAAACAAAATAGAGTACTTTTAGTACAGACCATGAATGAATAATAAACACTCAAACTCCTATATGACCTAAACTAAAAGTCTCTAAAACATCTCAAGTGGCTGCATCAAAACTCCACTATCATCACCATCTAGTTGTCATAACTATGTCTCTGGCTCGTCATTGTCGATGAAACCTACATTATGTTACATATGCCTAAGGTGTTGTATCTCCTTGTGAATGTCCCTTTAATCTCTCACCATATAAGACATCCCTCTGTCAACAACTAGTTTGAGTGTTGTGAGTTTGTATTGCTGATCAATATTACTCTTAATGTGACCTAAAGTTGTATTAACAGCTATCCATTGATCTAAAGCAAAAGTAAGAGGAGTCCTATGGAGTGGTGTCTGCAAGGTGCTAGCTCAAGTGTGCCTCGGTGGTGGTGCACTAAATGGTTCAAGCTTTAAAGTGGTATGAGCATGTAGCTCAGCCTTTATCACATCTTTCTCTGTCTCAGCCTCCATAGGGTCAAATGTGTAGCACACATGCATCTCACTATGTCTCAATCACTTCTTCCCTAGAGGTCTCTCTGGTCTCAATAATTGATCAGTCTCTAAAGCACCAACAATCTGTGTGTGTATATATATATATCTCCAAACATGTACCCATGTACCAATAGCATGTAAGAGATAGTCTCATGGTGGGGGGGGTGTGGAAATATGAGTTTTCGGGTCAATGTTTGTAATTAGAAAGTGGAAAGGTTATGAGTCTTCTGATATTCAGGAAGATTAAATTCAAAGACAATTGATTTCCTATCAACTTTGAAAGGATGTGAATTCATAGTTGAAATTCCATTTTAGATGCAATAGGATCAAATTCCACAGTGTGTGTGTGTCATTATTTTATGCATTTAATAATTTACAAGCTTGGGGCTCTACAAATTAAATTGTGATCTTATGGTATCAAAATAATTTATAGGTCTATAATTTATAAACTCCAGGTTTGTAATTTATATGTAATTTATAAAACTTCATGTCTGTAATTTATATGTAATTTATGAACTTCAAGTTTGTAATTTACAAATTTCAAGTCTATAATTTATGTTCTATTTTCTAGCACAATAAAATATATGTACTTCAAGGACTAGATTTTTTCATGTTCTTCATGAGCATAATTTATATTAAGTATTTATATACTTCAAGTACACAATTTATGTGCTTCAGACACTATTTTAAATATAATGACAATTTAAAAATAGGACAATAAACACTCATATCATGTTCTTTTCATAACATGTATGGTGTTAATTAAAATTGATAAATTCATATATATCTAATTTTACCTTTTAGACATAGAATATTATTCGACTGTGACTCAGTTAGCTAGACCTCGTGCTAATAACGTCTATCAAATGTAGACTAGGGATTCATTCCATCTCCACTCATACGCCCTACACAAATCAAAAACAAATTTCATTTCTTAGAATAAAATTTAAAAAATAAACCATTAAAATTTACTAATCAATTCTAAAATATCAATGTCTCAATGAAAATATACCAAAACTCTGTAATCAACCTTAAAATCAAGCATATGTACTTGCGTGTGCAATTGAAAAAAAAAAGAATCTAGTTTCCATAAGATCAACAAGTACAACAAATTTATGGAGTCAAGAATGAACAATTGGCCCATGAACAAAAAGTGTCGAAGTCTTTAGTCAAGAGACAATAAAATAAATGGCTATTATAGGCCAATGCGTGTGGTTTATTGTTCTACATTGAAATTAAATTATTAAATCTACATTAAAATTTTTTTTTTGTGTGGGGTGTATGAGATAAAGTAGTGAATGAAAAATTAGTTTTGAGAATATAGACTTGCTATTAAAAAAGTGTTTATAATATTGAGTAAACTTAGTCAAAATGAAATCAATATAAAAAAAGTAAATTTAATAATTTGATTATAAAAATTTTAATAAAGTGAGAACGGATATTTGGGATGAAGACCCCACCCACAAGTTACATGGTGTACTAAAATCTGAACTTTTTTTGAGAGAAATAAAAAGGATAAATCTCGCTCACAGTAGCACACTCACTTGATACTGTGAAGCAAAATGTTGGCAAACCCTAGCTTGCATGGCGGACCTTTGCAATTCACATCTTCGAATCGACACATATCCTTTCATTCCTCCGTTACTTGTCCTCTGTATCTTCGCTCCAAGAAACCTGGATTTCCTCCTCCTTTATCTCTACNATTGCATGGCGGACCTTTGCAATTCACATCTTCGAATCGACACATATCCTTTCATTCCTCCGTTCCTTGTCCTCTGTATCTTCGCTCCAAGAAACCTGGATTTCCTCCTCCTTTATCTCTACTTCTATCTCGAAGAAGAAGAAGAAGAAGAAGAAGAAGATTAGAATGTATTCCATTCAGAATTCGGGCTTCAGCTGAGTTCAAGGCTTCGCAATTGGTTGGGGAGTCAGCTCCTTATGTTCCGCAGCCGATATCGGTCAAAATTCCTGTCGGTGATCGGCATGTAAGTCATAGCAATTTCGGCATTTTCCCTCAAGTGGTTTTTTTGGTTCATTAGTTTGTTTGTGTGCGGGGTTTTTATGTATTTTTTTTTTCGGTAAGTATGGTTTTTATGTATTGAGTTGTGTTGCATAAATTTTTTTGGACCATTACTCTAAAAATGCTCCTTTTATCTTCTTCAAAATCTGCGTGTGTGTTGGCATAATTTTGTGAGGTTTTCAGTTCTTCTATGTAAGTCGATGAAGGAGAGGAAGGTTCTCGCACTCGTTTTCTTTTCAAAAGTATGAAGAGAAATAATCCCTTACCTCTCTTCATAACTACTAAAACTTACAGATCACGATCAAAATTAAGAGCCACTAGTTGCTTCACTGCTAATGAAGCCTTTCATTCCATCCTCTATCCTCAGAAAAGCTTTCGGGCAAGAGTTAGTGCCAACCAGACCTTTTATATTTGCTGGCCTTTTACATCGAGGACCACATTTGCATTAGACTTGTGGTCCACTTCTCCTAAACAATCAGATGTATGCTAAAATTCTGTATCTCAATATAACATGTAACGTCATTGTATTCTTACAGATATTGGTTGAAACGGGTCATATTGGGAGACAAGCCAGTGGTGCTGTCACAGTAACTGATGGAGAAACTGTAAGTTTGTGCTTAAACTATATGTTTATCTGCATTATATTTATCTGTTCACAAAATTGTTTCATGCATTTGGAGAGCTGTTTTGTGGTTTGACTGCCAAAGTAAAAGTTGTTTTTTGTTGTTTAGATTTGAACTTTAAAGTTTGTTGGCATGTTGAAACTTTCTTTCATTAGCATGAGTGCATTGATTAATGCAAAATTGCTTTTACATTGTTTGTGTATTTTCAAATTCAATTGTTCATTGCCTAGTTTAAATATAGCATGTTGTTAGTTAAAACAATGAAGTCAATAGTTTGCGTGATGAAGTCATAATTTCTAATTTTTCAGGGTACACGTAGCCATTTGTATGACTTGTGTTACTGGCTCGCTGTTAGATCTTGTATTATAATTAATAAATATGGATAATATTATTTGAAGAGTTCTTCTAAAATAACTAAACTGATAATGGATACTTTGAATCGTTGTTGAAAGAATAACTATGAAGTTCGAGTTTTGCCAGTAATGACTTTTGGGTCAAATTTAGTTTTTGAGGCGATTAAGTTTAAGAAGGGTAGCTAGGTAAATTTTTGGGTCAAAATACTATTACCATTGAATTCAGAAGGTGGAGAAACTTTGGTATGAGCATTCACTTTGTGTAGCAGTCTTGATGAGTAAAATGGTAATTTTAGTGTTTGGATACTTTATTTTGTAGGAGATCAATAATGGTTATTGATTGAGATAGTGATGATTTAAGGTGCATCTCAAGTGTTGCAAAATCACTTAAAATGGTTTGAGAGATTTGAAGTTGAAGAGAAAAAGTTTGGAGGCTTTTCGGGGATTTAACACATGTTGGGGAGAATTTAGAAAGAAAAGAATTTGACACTATTTTAGTTTTTTGACCATAAATTTTTATCCTGATGTCTGATTGAACTGATTTCTTGTAATATTGGNCTTCGGGGATTTAACACATGTTGGGGAGAATTTAGAAAGAAAAGAATTTGACACTATTTTAGTATTTTGACCATAAATTTTTATCCTGATGTCTGATTGAACTGATTTCTTGTAATATTGGAAAGAAGACTTTAAGCTATGCAAAAGTATATTTCATGAATATTTTATGATCAAAGGCTAATTAGGTCAAAATCGGACTAGAAGTTTGAACTAGAAAATAGGTATGTCTAGACGCGAATTTGTATTTTTGGACAGTAAGTTTAGTCCTTCTGGATGCGCCTCCCAAAACCTATTAGCGCTGTTTAACCTATTTATGATTGTTAAGAGAAGTCTATGAGGGTTATGTACTTTAAGCCTTATTATTATAAGTACACGAGGNTAACCTATTTATGATTGGTAAGAGAAGTCTATGAGGGTTATGTACTTTAAGCCTTATTATTATAAGTACACGAGGTTAAGAGAGATAACCTAATTCTCTCATTAGCTCTCACTGTTTTAATAAACATATTCTCTTTCTCTCTATTTTTTTCTCCTCTCTCTTTCATAATTTAACTATGACCTTATAAATACCCTAGGGTTAGTTTTAGGGTTTCTTTATACGAGTTTAAATCCTAAGGGGCCTAGCAGAGATTTAGAGAGCTAAGAGAGGATGAGGAAGAGTAGATCAGGCCAAGTTTTGCTGGGATTTGCACGTACGGAACAACATAAAAAACGTTATAATAAATTTCTAAGAACTTAAAGTAGGGTTTCTTTTCCTTTTCTAAACATTGTGGCTAACGCTGTGTTTATTTATAATTTTTGACTTGAATCCGTTTACATATTCTAGACCTACGACTATTTTGGATTTCTTGCAAACGCATGATTCATTTTTGTTGGAAAAATACTCGAGTTACATTTGATGTGCGTTTTTAGTTTATAAACCCTAGATTCTAAATAATGTCTAATTTAAAATGTCTCTTTGCGATTTCATGTATGTTTTATTGAAATTGCTTTAAGAATTGTGAAAACTTTTGTTTGTGGTATATGTGATCTATTTGAAAAGCATCATTTAAATATCTTGTATTGGTGGGGTTGATGAACTTCAATGCGCTTGAACTTATGTCGTCTCGAACTTTTGTCGTCGAGTAATTAGATATTTTTCTTACCTCGATGGACTTAAAGGTTTCCTATGACTTGTAGTGGGGGTGTTTGGTTACTTGCGAGGTTTCAAGGATTTGCACTATTCATTTACTTTGGTTGAGGCTGAGGGGTAGTATTATTATTATTAATGGGAGAATTTTGTTAAATACTGGTATGCACAGTATACACGCCTCTTAAAATGATGTGGCTTTGCTGTGATAGATTGGATGGTTTGTGTTTGTTGGAGGGTGGACTAGCTATACTATGGTGTGTGAATTCTTGCTAGCCAGTGTGTATAGAATGTTTTAAAACTAGGTTCGGCCCGACGGGTTGACTTAGAAAACCGGTGACCCAGGCACTAAACCGGGCCGATTCCCTCGTTCTAACATAAAAATTGGCCAAGACTCGTCAAATTGGGTGGGTTTTGCCTTAACCGTTCAAACCATTTTGGGCATATTTGCCCTAATAGACTATTCGACTTCGAGATCAGATTGAACCCCCCTCTCTCTCTTCCCAATTCATCTTTGACATCTTTGAATTTGGTCTCTCAGGCTTCCAGCAAGCATAACCGCCACCATCCAGCTAGATGGATTGAAGCATAGCACATCTCCGTTGGCGCCACCACCCATCACCAAGCACACAACCACCATCAACCCAAATTTACCATCACTACAACACCCAAGCCACCACTCCAAGTGTCACAAGGGCTAAGGGGCCAACACCAAGTCATAACAAGAACCAACAAACTACTACCTTTCTGCTATTTCTCTTTCTCTCTCTTTCTCTTTCTCTTTTCGCTATTTGTCTTCATTAACTTCAATTTCAACATCAAATCTAGTCTCTCAAGCTCCCAGCACGCAGCAGTTGTTGAATCTCGATCATCTCTGTCTTGAATTAAATTAGTGTTAGGGTTTTGCTTCAAATAATCCCCTCGTTGGCATATTTGGTCATCTAGCAGGTATATTGGGTTACAAATTCCAAGAACAAAATCATTGCTAGTGTTGTTTGAGTGTTTTTTTTTTAATTTGGATACTATGTGTTCGTGATATTGGCTATGCATAGGTGTAATTGTCTATTTGTGATATTCTTAATAATTAGTTATATTTTTCANTAATTTGGATACTATGTGTTCGTGATATTGGCTATATGCATAGGTGTAATTGTCTATTTGTGATATTCTTAATAATTAGTTATATTTTTCATACTAATTAGTCATATTCTTCATATCTGCATGGTATAGGAGAAATTTTTTTTTTGAAATCTTATTCTTCATTTTTGCATGTTATTTTCATAATTGTTATAATTTTTTTACCTATATATTATCATTAATAATTAATAATTATTTTTTATTATATTGTTGGTCTTTCCAATGACTCAACGGTTAAACCATTGACTCATTGCCGGGTCCCTCACTGGGGTTGATGTCTGGGCCGGGTGTTAAAACTATGGTTATATATGTTTATTTTGGAATTTTGAGACCTACCTATTTTTATATATTTTTAAACCTTGTTTAGGCTTGAGAAAATTTCTTTATCGAGCTAGATGTGCTCACCCCTTCTATTAATATTTTTTTGATTTAGTATTGAGATTGATACCTTACAAGGTGAGGATGCTGAGTGGGATTATTAGGCGGATCGGAATGTGAATCCGGAGATGGAGGCTTGAGGATTGCTAATTTAGTTTATTTTGTTTCCTTTATGAGGATGGAGTAATTTTATGAATGTTTATTATTTTATGAATATCTATAACCTAGTACTTGAGGCTATCAGTATTGGTTTGGAAGTATTATTGCGAGTTGGCTAGTATTGCCCTAGGTGGAATTAAAAGTGAAGTGATAACACCGTTTTGGTGCATTTGGATTGTTCAAATTGTTTAGAAAGGTCTTAAGCAGAAGATTAATAGTGGACAGTGTCATTAAGCATTCTTGTCTTATTATGGGCATAGTTCATTACTCTTAGACTTTCTAAAGTTATTAACAATCGGGAATCTCTTGTTTAAGTATAGGATTAATAGTTGACTTGTACTCACAAATTTTAATTGAAAATGGAGGTTAAGGGTATGGGTACAAATCTAGAGACATGGTAATGAATGGTGCATAGTTTTGGTTCGTTTGTGAATTTTTGTTTTTAAGGATCAAAGTTTCGTTTTGATGTATAGTTTCGGTTAGTTTGGGAATGGAAACATTTTGGAAACAAAAATTTATGTTGAGCTACAATTACTTCATGAACTTAAGTTGTTAGAGAGTGGGCCCAATTATGTGTATGAAACTCCGAACATATATTATATGCAACACCATACAAAACAAAGCTATACTTCTAAGGTACCTCATCTTGATTATTGTTCTATTGTCCCGTTATATGTTCGAATCTTGTTATATGATAAATCTCTTCACAAGTTGCCATTAGTAATGGTAATACAAATAATAGTAGAGAGCGGTGATAATTTATCATCAGTAACAATTAATTTTAGAGGCAAATGGTGCAATGGTATTGTTGTTGTTATCTGTAACTATTAAGGTTGAAGTTAGAAATATGTTTTTGAAATTACACAAAAAGTATTCGGGTTAGGGTATGTTTGGATCACGGGTTAAAAGTGGATAACTATGGTAGGATAAGATAAAAAAGTATGTGGGGTCCATATATCCCATGTTTGGTAAGTAAAAAATGCACAGGAAATCCTATTTGGATTTTATCTTGGCCTGATTTGGAAAATCAACTTTAACCCACCTACATGGGTTAAATGAAACCCAAGGGTGGGTTAGGATTTTTTTTGCCAGGATAAGTAATGTAAATTTACGGATATGTCCACCCCNTGATTTGGAAAATCAACTTTAACCCACCTACATGGGTTAAATGAAACCCAAGGGGGGGTTAGGATTTTTTTTGCCAGGATAAGTAATGTAAATTTACGGATATGTCCACCCCTAAGTGTGGAGATCTTCTTGGTTAATTTTTTAAATATTTTATGTTGTTAACTTGAATGGTTGATGGGGTTTATTTTTTATTGTTACAATATTGTTAAAAATATGTATTTTATATTTAAATGAGTTTTAAAAAAAAAATAGATTTGAAAGTGTACTTTTTTTTTTGGAATGGGTTGAAGTCTAATTTATAAATCAAACATGGTGGTGGATAAGATATGANTAGATGTGAAAGTGTACTTTTTTATTTGGAATGGGTTGAAGTCTAATTTATAAATCAAACATGGTGGTGGATAAGATATGATATGGGTATAATAGTCAATGAAAACAAATTACATCACTTTTATCCATGGGCCCTACAAAAATATATGATCTACCCAAACAGGGAAATTGTCTAGATATACCAATGTATATCCTATCCGGGTGGCAGCGGGGTGGGTTTGCATTGGATAGGAAAGGATATCTTTTTAGATATCCAATCCACTCCAACCCTATCATCCAAACATACCCTGGGGCATTCGCTAAGACGGGAAAGGGGATAAAGCTAGTGTGGTAAATGAACTGCGCTGGTCATAAAGAGCTGAAGATTCTCTCGTATTGAAGCTTGTTCAAGTTCGTTCATTGTAAAATGAACCGAGCTCGAGCCCGTTTAATAAACAAACTGAGTATGATCAATGTTTTTTTTAGGTTGTCAAACTCACGAACAAATTGAGCTCGTTTATATACATAGATATATCTCAATATCTAATAGACCCATGTAATATATTTACCTTTTGCATTAATTTCATTTGATTTTGCGTATGCTTCATTTTTGGCATGCAATATGCACTTCTATATTGGTTGAGTTGCATGTTTATTTTTGGAATGAGTAAATTACATGTTGAATTGTATAATTTTTATTTTTTTGGATAAAGATAACAATTTTATTGATGTAAACAAAAAATATAGAACAAAGTGATAATACAGATTGACTTGTATAATTTGACTTCCCTCGGTAAAAGATATTTGGAAGAAAATTATTTTAAGATTCTATTTTTTTGTATGAAACTGCTGGTCTGGCAGAGTTTGAATAGGTGGCATTTGATTGGTCGCATATAAAAAATATTGATTTATTTGTTTTTGCAGATTATCTACACATCCGTTTGCTTGGCTGATGTTTCTAGTGAGCCTTCTGATTTTTTTCCTCTTTATGTAAATTATCAAGAGCGTTTCTCAGCAGCTGGTCGAACGAGGTATCCCTTGCTTATCTTGCTCTTCTATGATGCAATTATTGGTACTGTGAGATGGGAACTTATTACTTTTTCATTTCAATCTGCCATTTATCAGTGGAGGATTTTTTAAACGAGAAGGGAGGACAAAGGATCATGAGGTACTATCCACTACCATTTCAGTATAAAGATGCCCTTTAAACATGACAGATGAAGCTTGCTTTGAAAACTATACTCAAGTTTCTATCATTCTGTTTTTTCATGTGAGTGCTAGTGTTGATAGTTATATGGTTGCATTGGGCATATTGCAAAATTCTGATGAAGCAATCTGAGTTTTGGATTGCGAAACACTTTCCTCCTCCTATTTAGAAGGAGCTTATGTTTCATAATACTGCAACCTTAATGGCTTCGTATTAGCCAGCTGTTGGTGGGAGACACTTTCAAATTTTCCACAACTGCTAGGGTGCTTAGAGAGCTGTGTTAACTCGGTTTTTTCACCTAAATCATTGCTCTCTTCAACTTTTTGAGCACAAATGGGTATTAATCCTAAATCCTCCATGCCATGACTCTTATTTTATTTCAAAACTATCCTTGAAAGTTTCAAAAACATTTTTCAACATTAATACAAGAGTCATTCTATGGATTTTCATTCTAAATTCCTAAATCCATTTTAACTATCTAAGTTAAACCACACTAAGACAACTAGATATCTAGGTCTCATACCTCACCTAAGCATGATGAATTCGAAGAAGTTTTCTAATGCTGCAATGTAGATTGAGCTTCTTCATCACATGTTGCTTTGGTCTTCAATCTTCATAAGTGCATCACGAAGATTTACTTGAGATACAAGTGCAAGAATTTGTCAATTATAATCAATTTCCTAACAATCTCCCTTTTGGCAATTTTGTGACAAAAAATACGAGTAAGAAATTATAAAATTACAACTCGATAAACCATAGTGAAAAAACGATTGACTTCTACACTCAAGTACAAGTTACTCAAATCTCATCCTAATGCAATAAATAATCTTTATGATTTGTGCTCTGAATCAAAATAGTCCAGCAAAATCATCACTAAACAAAATACCTCTTGAAATGCATAGAGTATATTAAATACAAATCATAAGCACTGGTAAATATTAGTGAACAAGGCACTAAGAGGGATAAGCCACATGCAAGCATGCAAAATGTGAATGTACATAACCTAAGTATGCTTATGCTCAGAACCACTTACAGCAATTAAGTCCAACTAGTCTAGTTCNGCACTGGTAAATATTAGTGAACAAGGCACTAAGAGGGATAAGCCACATGCAAGCATGCAAAATGTGAATGTACATAATCTAAGTATGCTTATGCTCAGAACCACTTACAGCAATTAAGTCCAACTAGTCTAGTTCTCCCTTTTTGGTTAGTGCTATTCCATCAGCAAAAACATTGTGCTTTATGTCAAGTTTTATAACGTATTCCCAAACATTTTTACTAAGCTCCCCTTTTTGTTACTTCCTCTATTTAACAATCTTACTGTAGGCCATCTCAAGTTTCTCTAGTTTTTCTCCCCCTCAACCATCTAGCTCTCACTTTTTTTATTACGAAGTGCCAACAAATGATAAGCGAAAAGAAATAGACAATAACACATTAAATGTTACGGATAGAAAGAAAGAAAATAATTTAAAAGGGTAAAATCTATATAATAAAGTAGTTAAAAAAGTTTGTCTTCAGCTTTTCGCGACTCAAATCGCATGACGATTATTGATCCGACGGTCCTAATGCGAAATTCCCTCTTCCAATTTTTTGAACAAGACTTTCATTTCTTCCACTATTCTAAGACTTCTATCTCTCTTATAATTTTTTCTCTGTATCTCATACTACACATTAATTAGGTCGTTAATTATGATTCTATATAATTAAGTATTATTCTATATAAATTTTTTTACTTTACTAGAATTCACGTGAAGCTTTTGAATGTTTTCCTCACAAAAGTTACACAAACTCATATTTAAAAATAGTGCAGAGATAATGTTATGAACTTTACGTAGAAATCTGTAGAAACACAAATAGTTATGATTGTTTGAAATTTGAGATCAAGTTTATTAAAAATGTTAAAATCCTAGATGTTTGATCAATAATAATTATATTTTCTCAGATTTTTGAATAAATATATTACAGTAGTTTTAGATAAAAGTTTGAATATGTATATTTTCTAGACAGGTCAAATTGTATTATACATTGTCTTTATTTATGTACAATTTTTTACAAGTAATTTAGTGCCTTCAGGTACGGACAATTACTAGTCATAGTATATAATACAAGGATCCAACAAAGTATGGAGATTAAAAACATAATCCAAGTGTACGTAACAAACCAAAAGAAAATAGGAATACTGAGATAAGGAACACCCAATACAAATGTGCACTCAAGCTCATGAATGTTCCATGTCTAAGTTTTCATCTATGCAGCTGTTAAAGTATTAATATTAAGGGTAATTTAGGCATTTATTATATTCTGTGTTGGTGTATTATATAAGGGTCTCCATTGTATATTCTAGGTTAAGTTGCATTACGAAATTATTTAGCCATAATAAGATCTTTCTCTTCTCTACACTTTTTTTTATTGCCTTTTCTGATCAATGTTAACATGGTATCTGAGCGGTTATGATCTGAAATAAAAAAAAATATATATATTAGACATCACAGACAGAAGAAAGGAATTTTTTTTTGGGCTACCAGATAATGATGTTAGTGATGTGTTACCCGCCGGAATAACGAGAACCAACAACGAAAAGAACCCAAGATCGTTTAACGAACAGATTTTATGGTAGACCTTGACCCATTGTTTACAACAAACAAGAACCTTGGTATATAGACCTCAACCCACTGTTTGTGAAACAAGAACCTCGGTATAAAGGAAGACGCCACAAACGGTGTGGAAACCCGTTTGATAAGTCGTTGGTGAACGCCACGGAGAATTCCGATAAGTTCGTTTAGTTCTTCAAAGAACCAAAGAGAAAACACTCTCAAAATTTGCTGAATAATGATCTGAATTTTCATTGATCTGAATGCCTATTTATAGGCTGGTCATTACAAGGATTAGGAATCTTCCTAAAATAGCTATCCTACTTAGGAAATATCTCTTACTTGTGGGTAAAGAAATATCTCTTACTTTCCTAAGACTCTTGAAGAAAAAAGGAAAGACATTCAGCCCTTTAAATGGCTGAGCACATGCCTAAATAGAAAAAGGAAAGTACTTGGCATACAAGCCTTACAATTAGACCCTAAAAATAAAGAATAGTGCACGTACTGTAGCATGAACAGTGCACGCTACAGTAACTTTGAAAACCCTACTTCATAAGAAATAAAACATGTGGGCTAAGCATCCTCAAGCCCACTTATTAATAATTCTAATCCTTTAGACAAATTGGAGGCCTTAACAACAATAAACCAATTGAATCTTAGCCTTAGCCCCTAGCTGGATTCTTCTAGAACTTGAATCATGTTGATGAATCTTTGTTGCCCAAGTGGATCATGGTCAATGGGCCTCCACAAACTTGCTTGATTCCATGCCTCTTGAATTAGTTCATTGAGTACCTCTTTAAACTTCCTTGCTCGTGCTCTCGTAACCGGCCCACTTGGAACTTGAACTAAATCCCTTGAAGTTGTGTTATGATTTGCATCATTCCCCTTCTCAAATCATCACCTACATCAAAAGGACTCAAATCAGTAATATTAAAAGTAGCACTTACATTGTACTCACTAGGTAAATCTAGCTTGTAGGCGTTGTCATTGATACGCTGCAGGACTTGGAAAGGACCATCTCCCCTTGGAAGCAATTTGTAACGTCTTTGCGCCAAAAATCTCTCTTTTCTCATATGCAGCCAAACCCAATCTCCGGGTTCAAAAATCAGCTTGTGACGTCCCTTGTTGGCTTGTTTTGCGTATTGCTCCGTTCTTCACTCAATGTTGAGTCTTGCTTTCTCATGAATCTGCTTGACAAAGTCAGCTTTCTTCTTGCCATCTAAATTAATATGCTCAGTCAAAGGTAAAAGAGATAAATTCAATGGGGTTAAAGGATTAAATCCGTACACAATTTCAAATGGTGAAAATTTAGTAGCAGAATGAATGGATCGGTTATAAGCAAACTCAACATGTGAGTAAACATTCTTCCCATGTTTTGATGTTTTTTTTAATGATTGCCCTCAATAAAGTAGACAAGGTCCTATTGACTCCTTCAGTTTGACCATCAGTTTGGGAATGACAAGTAGTAGAAAACAATAGCTTAGTACCTAGCTTACACCACAAAGTCTTCCAAAAATAGCTCAGGAACTTAGCATCTCGATCTGAAACAATTGTTCTAGGCATGCCATGTAATCTCACAATCTCTCTAAAGAACAAGTCAGCAACATGCGAAGCATCATCCGTTTTGTGACATGCAATGAAGTGTGCCATCTTAGAGAATCTATCCACAACCACAAAAATCGAATCTCTCCCACGCTTAGTCCTAGGCAATCCTAACACAGAGTCCATTGAAATATCAATCCATGGCTCACTAGGAATTGGTAAAGGAGTATACAAACCATTGGATTGCACTCTGGATTTAGCTTGCCTACATGTGATACATCTACCACAAATTCTCTCAACATCTCTTTTCATGTGAGGCCAATAGAAGTGTTCTTGCAATACAACTAAAGTCTTTGCAACCCCAAAATGTCCCATTAATCCCCCACCATGAGATTCCTGCATTAACAACTCCCTCAAGGAACAATTAGGCACGCATAACTTATTCTCTCGAAATAGGAATCCATCAAGCCTAAAGAACTTACCACTACCGGTTTTCTCACAAGCCCGGTATTCCTCACAAAATTCGTGATCATCAACGTATAAATTTTTAATGTGCTCAAAACCAAGGAATTTTGCATCAAGTGTAGAGAGTAATGCATACCTGCGAGAAAGTGCATCGGCAACCACATTCTCCTTACCTTGCTTATACCGGATGACGTATGGGAACGTTTCAATGTACTCCACCCATCGTGCATGCCTTTTATTTAGCTTGTGCTGGCCCTTCAAGTGTTTCAAGGACTCATGATCGGTGTGAATCACGAATTCCTTAGGACATAGGTAGTGTTGCCAAGTCTCTAAAGCTCGAACCAATGCATACAACTCCTTATCGTAAGTTGGGTACTTTAAGGCTGCCCC